TTCAGGAAGAGAGCGTGAGGAGAGAATACCAACGTGCACCTTTTATCGAAATCCTCACTGTGCTTAGTGCACTTCTGGTCCTCTCTGACTTTCACATCAAGCAGGTTGTTTTTTTGCCCACCTTAGGACTGGTGAGGATCTGAGGCTCAGAGAGATGAAATCACATGCCCACATTTACCCAGCTACGAAGCCAGAGGCAGACACTGAGTTGCTGGGTATATGTTAACCTGAGCTACGCCCCCCTCCACCTTTGTAATCATTGCCCTCCCATCCTAAGATCTGACCCAAAAGCAAGAGACAGAGAAGAAAGAAGGACACAGCCTCAACCAGAAGTGCAGGTACCCAGCTGATGAGCAGCAGGAGTGAGGAAGGGATCTCCCGAGAGCACCCAGCTCCAAAAGGGATGTGGTGTTGGAAGAAGGCCCGGTTGAGCTAGCTGGACAGAGCTGGAGTTATGCCCCTGCAGTGTGGCCTAGGCCCTTTGCTTCACCCGGTTCTAGAGAGGCTTTGGTGTTCTGGCCTCAGACTACCCCTCTGGCTCACCAGACGCCCAGTCTGACCTCTCATCCCTTGGCTGCCTCAGTTCCCCTGAATCAGAGACGAGTCTGCTTAGCTTCGGATTTATACCTTCTCGAGGGTCCCTGCTGCTCCCAGCTGTGGGTCCTGATCAGTGCCTCAAGCTGGGCTGGGAAGCCTGGGATGGGCCTGTGGTTTGAAGGGCTGATGGCCCTCGTACTACTCCTGGGCCTGGCTGCGGTTCGCCCATTCATTCAGTTCCGCCGCCCTTAACTGCACAACAGCTACCTTTGGTTGGCTCTGAGAACACACCCAGAAAAGAGGTTGTGGGTCTCCACCCTATAGTCAGGGGCTGAGGGTGCAGCACCAGGGCCAGGGCAGGGAGATAAAGATGAGGATGCTGTGGTCCAATGGTGGGGAGAGGGAGCATGAAGAGCCCATCAGAGCCCAGAGGAAGCCCCAACCCGGGCAAGAGCTGCCAAGGTTCTGTGCTAAGTTCCTGAAGGATGCTTGGGATCTGAAGCAGGCAGGTGAGGGGGTAGGGAAGGAAACAACATAGCCTGGAGAAGGGAGTGGGAAGGAGTGACAGGAGGGTGGAGACTGGCCAGTGACAGCAGTCTCCTTGAGCACTCATCTATGCTAAGTGCACTTCACACATCATCATTAAGATCCTCCAACAGCCAGGAAGTGAGGCACTGAGGTTAGCCCCACCTGCTCAGAGATGTTGCCACGGGTTCCGAGATACAACCAGTGACAGAGTCTGGAGCCTGGATTCAAACACAGGCCTGCTTGACAGGGAGGTGCAAAAGGTTAGAGTGGGAGAGCCCTGCGACACCAGGCCTGGGAGCTTTGTCTATCATGTGCCCACATCCACAGCAGGCAGGCAGGGGCTTCTCTACAAGTCTCTACAGGCCTTGCCCAGGACTGGCTCTTCCCTTGGATTCATCTGTGGGACCAAGAACCCAGCCAAATTTGTGCAGAAGTCATGGTCTCAACTCCACAGGCTCCTCTGGGATTAGGCGAGAGGGACCGTCCTGGCTGGTGCTAGGTCCCTGTAAGACTCAGTTGGAAGAAAACTAGCTATCGGGAGCCCCTGCTCCCTTCTGAGCTGTGAGGGTCCAAGGAGTACCAAGGCCCCAGAGCCTAACCCTTCATCATGAGGCACCCCATCGCCCTCCCATCCTGGCTAGTCTGGGGTCGGGTCACCATGAAAACAGCCCCTGGAGCATCTTCCTGTTTAAGGAGGGATTAGGTGTGGCCCTCTGGAAGAAATAACAAGAGACAGATGGTAGGAGGGTTCGATTTTTTTCCCTGCCCTGTTTTCCCTTTGGTTACCTGGGGGCAGGGGTTTGGACAGTATGTCCCATTGGTATACCCAGCCCAGGAGCAGAGTTGGTGCAGAGGGTAGCTGGGGCCAGGAGGCATCACTACCAGATGATGTGGATAATAATACTTGTGGCCGTTTACTGAACACGCACTGTGTTCCTGACACTGTGCCGAGGACTTGACCTGTTAGGTTGTGTGACCTGTGTTATTTTGGGAAGTCCTATAGATAACTCTACTTTACAGGTGGGAAAGCTGAGGCTTGGTGAGATGAAGCCACTTGCTGGTGGTCCAACAGGGAACCAGGGATTGAAGCCAGGTCTGCCTCACTCAAGTCCTTACTCCTAAGTAGGGTGCTTCCCCAAGACCCTTAGCACCGGGTTCCTAAGGGAAAGACGGGCTTGTCAGAATTTCTAAGTGCTCTCAGCACTTTACATGGCTGCACTCGTTCAACTGTGGGGAAGTGGCAACTAGAGTCATTTTGTGCCCATTTCTTAGATGAAGAAACTGAGGTTCCGAGAGGTGAACAGTCTCAGCATTCTCAGGGGACCCAGGTCTCCAGATGACCTCCAGACTTGGGGTGGGAGGAGGCTCTCTCTGTCCCTGAAGACTTGGAGAGTGAAAGGGTGGGAGGCCAGTTTTCGATCCAACCTCAACGCCACATGCCCCTCCCCCTGCCTCTGTCCCCCCTTCTCAGCCACTCCTGCCAGAGTCTGTCTGAGAAGCCCAAGCCCTAGGCTCTGCTGGGACTGTGGCCTCAGGCCTCAAAATAGCCCTGCCTGTGAATGAACATGCTGTCCCTGGGCTGGGAGAGCCTCCAGGGAGGCTGGGCTCACATCTGGATGGATCTGCCCCAACCTGGGCTCAGGGCAGAGGGGGGCAGGGGCAGAGCTCTCAGATGGTCCATGGTTCCTCCAGATGGACTGAGAAAGCTCCCTGTCCCACCGTGTCCAGCCGGCCCAGGATGATAAGTATTTATAGTGGGGTTTCAGACACCATGGTGTCCTGGAAACAGGGCAGACTGTTGGACAACATGGGTTTCTAGCCCAGCCCTTTTAACCAATTGGCTGGATGCCTCTTGGCCAGTCAGTGACAAGAGGCCTCAAAAGAGGGGGTGTCCTAACATCTGTGACCTCTCTGGCCTACAGTGAGATGGAACCCCATGTGTCTGACCAGAGACTGTCCATGAGAGGCGCTGGTAGAGACTGCTCCTGTGGGCGAGGGACTGGTGGCTTCAGACAATGCCACCACCATCTGGTCTTCCAAGGGCCACCATTGATTCAAGCAGCATTGACTGGCGCCTGCACCGAGCCAGGTCCTAGCTGGAAACGGGCTGCAGAGAGAACACCTTTTCCTACCACCCCTGAGCTTGCAGCCTGATGTGAGCACAAAGAAGAGACTTCCCCTTCCCCTTCTGAGTTCATCCCTATGGAACATCCCCAGAAAGGGAGTACTGGGCAATTTCAGGAATAGAGAAACCTTCCCAGGGAGATGAGCCTCAGTGTAATCCTGGCCAGAAATCTATAGTCTACTTTTGAGGGTGGCTTAGTAAGTCCCTGGGTGTATGGTTGGGCTGTTGGGGAAACCACTGTGGGCTTTGATTGTTTTGCCCTTTAAGCAAAATATTATGCTTCAGGGCTGAGCCTCCATGGTGTGTACTGTTAAGACCCTGTACTCCACAGGCTGGGACTACATGGGAGGCCTGAGTTCAATTCCCAGTCCAATCAAAGGCACATTCTTAGGGAACCAGCAGTTAGCGTAATGGCTGGGTCGCTGGACTCCCACGTAGTCGACCGTGATTCACGTCCTGGACCCGGTGGCTTAAAACTCACGCCAGGCGCGCATGCGTGCGTGCCCAAGATCCCGAGAGGAGAATGGAGGGGAAGGGATTGCAGTGTGACCATCCCCCCTGGGGGAGGGTGATTTCTCGCTCTCTGGCTCTCTGTCTCTCTCTGTCTGTCTGGCGAGCACACGCGCCCTATAGCAAAAACCTCTCAAAAAAAAAAAAAAGAAAAATAAAAAAAAGACACTTTCTTATAATCCCAGTGACTCAGGGAGGCTGAGGCAGGAGGATCGCAACACAAATAAACCATTCTTTTTTAAAGAATTATTTTATTTTATTTATTCATTCATTTTTTTTTTAATTTGACCAGAGGGAGACAGAGAGAGAGAGAAAGTGAGAAAGCAAGCTACCAGGTCCAGGACTTGAACCGTGGTCAGCTATGTGGGAGTGTCCAGCACCTTAACCACCACACCACCTGCTGGTCCCCAGACATTTTTAAAAATTATGCTTTAGGGGCCAGCAGGTGGTATGGTGGTTAAGGCACTGAACTCCCACACGGCCAATTGTAGTTCGAGACCCAGACCTGGTGGCTTGAAAAATCACACCAGGCATGTGTGCACATGTATTCAGAATTCAGGAGAAGGAATTGTGGTGTGGCCATCTCCCCTTACTTTCCCTCTCACTGTCTGTCTTTGGCAAGTGCATGCACCCTATGGCAAAAACATTTTTAAAATTATGCTTTAAAATGTGTTAGTTTTTTTTTTTTTTTTTTTTTAAGTAACAGATCACATGGAGAAGAAACCTGATATCAATTTCTCATGGGCACACCTCTCTAAGCCTCAGCACATGGGAGTGTTCACTCAGTTCTGCCCTTATCCTTATCTTAGCCCGTGAGCCATGGCATTCTACAGTGCTCATAGTTTCTCCTGTTTTCTGCTGAGCGAACTTTATGGTATGGCTTAACTGTGATTGATTTATCAAGTCCCCTATTGCTAGACACAGACATTAATTCCATGTTCGTGGTGACCCGAGAAAACCTCCTAACACCTCTTTCTCTCCTGCAGGGTGGCCGTCGTGACCTGGGTGGCAGCTGCTTGAAGGTGAGGGGAGTGGCCCCCCTCCGAGGGCCACGGAGATGAGTCTGGGCCTTTGTGGCATTTGCTCCAAGCAGAACCCCAGAGGAGGAAGCCAGGAGCTGGCCATAGGCTGGACAGGGGAGAAGACCCTAGGAGCTGAACCCAGCCCTTCTCTGCTGGGACCAGGGGACCATGGCCTATGCCCAGGACGCTCTGGGCAGGGCCCCGTGGACATCGCCACTCCACCCTGGAGAGCTGTGAGGACCTGTTCAGCTCGCCCAGCCCTGGCTGGTCAGAGACAAGGCAGGACTTTTGGAAAACCAGAGACTGTTGGTGACAGGGGGTGTGTGCATGTCTGTGCATGAGTGTGAGTGTGTATGTGTGAGAGAGAGAGAATTGGTGGGTTTAAAATAAAAAGTATTTTTAAATAAAAGATATTGTTCCCAGCTGAGGGAGAGAAGGGCCTGTGGACCTTGGAGGTCAGAGGTGGCCCCTTCTCTGAACCTAGAAAGAGGTTCGGTTGTTAGAGGGGCTCTCCTGAACCCTGGATAGAGTGGGGCCCTCGCTTTAGAGTAGAGATAACCAGACTTTCCTCTCAGCCTCCCATTGATCAGATGCTCTTGAACAGCTGTTAGGAGTCTTGGAGTAGTTGGTAAAGAAACCTTATTTATTTTTTACTAAGGACTCTATTCATTTCCTCTACATGGCTCAGGATTTAGAAGGACCAAGGGGATATGTGGTGAGATGTCTCCTTCCCTCAGCCATCAGCTCCCCTCCCTGCCAGCAGCCTCAGTCACCAGTTCTTGGTGACATCCCATTCCGAGTGACCCAGCAAATACACAGATGATCGCACAGTTCCACACTTGCTGCTTTTTCTTTTCTCTTAATCAAGCTCGGCATCCTCCGAGGGTACATAGAGGGTGTCTTCATCCCTGCACTAGCTGCATGTCACTCCCATTATGAACGTGCTGTACTTTCACAAGGCTGCGTGGACACATACTGGTGCGTGCGTGTGTAGGTGAGCACAGGCTGAAGACATTCTTACCCCTGCTTTAGCTGAGACGATTTGGAGGACTGATGACACCCAAAGGCATATGGCAGGATGACACCCAGAGGTTGGTCCCCTTTTAAAGTAGTTCTTGCTCCTGCCCTAGACATGTCCCAGATGGAGTGCCAGCCCTGCTCCCACCTCGTGACACTAAGCAGCCCTTGGGAGGTAGGGGCGGGTGTTTCCCCCATTTCATAGGTCCAGCTGAGATGGTGACGGGGATAGCTGCTCAGGGAGCATGGAGTTCTTGGCTCTCTCCAGCCGGGGCTGTGTTCCTATGAGGCCAGGATCAGAGATACTCAGGAGGCCCAAGGGAGGGGAAGGCAAGAGGAAGCCAGAATGGCCAGGTAGCCACCCTTTCCTCCTCAGTGGCCTATGCTCATATGTCTTTTGTTTTAAAGTTTATTTACTTTGTGGAAAAAAAGATAGGCACCCCCAGCAGGACCCCATGCCACAGTCTTGTCTCAGCTGGCCCAGATCATGGGCAAGCACCCCCAGAATACTCAGGGAGGTCCCAGGATGTAAACTTTGAGCTTTCCATGTGAGTCCAGTTACCACTGTGCCACCAGCCAGCCCCCTGGTTTTCGTTTTGGGGTTTGTGCTTTGTTTGTTTTTGCCAGAGGGTGCATGCACTTACCAGAGACATAGAGGGAGGGGGATAACGCACCCTCCATGGGCTGTGGTCACACCACAGTCCCTTCTCCATTTCTCCATACTGTCAGGATTTGGGGCATGCACACATGCATGCTTGGTGTGTTTTTCAGGCTACCAGGGATGGGAATCAAACCCCGCAGCTGGCCATGTGGAATTCAGCTCCCTTAGCCACGAGGCCACGGGGCTGACCCACAAACACTTCCATTTAGTGTTCACTAATGGATCTGGTTCCAGAGTCCACACTTGCATTTCCTTTGCTCTGGCTCCCTCCTCCTTGCATTTAACCTCCCACTGAGCCCAAGTTGGGGCTGCTGGTTTTACAGACAGCAACGTTGCCAGGCACCCCTTCTATTGGGCACCCTGGGGTGTGCCTTACTGACCGGGTCTACCTCACAGACCAGACTGCGGCTCAGGGACAGCACAGAGGCCGCCCACATTGCCGTGGAACTATCACACTTAACCCCTTTGGTATGAGGAGTGGAGGAAGGAAGGCCCCAAGAGGCTGGGGTCCCGCCCAGGACAACTTTCCAGGCGCCCTCGACTTCCCCAGTGTTCCAGGGACACTGGTCCTGCCTATCTCGTGTCCCAGTGTGGCTGTGTTTCCCCCGCCGGGAGCTAATTAGGAAAGCACATTGCTCTCCCCATGCCTGCCCTGGTCCAGGTACAGACAGCCTCTGGCAAAGCCACAGGAAAAGGATCGTGACCTTGTCAATGACAGGAAACCTGAGAGTGGGGGTAGGGCAGACACTTGGGTGCCCTGAGCTGGATGCCTGTTTCTGCTATGAGATATGCTGGGCGACCCCTCAGATATTGCTTGACCCCTCTGGGCTTCCCTAGCCTAATCGCCAACCACCAAGAGCAGCGAGAACAAAGAGGTACCCACTGTATCTTTTTTGCCTTGTCAAATAGTTTTTAAAGATTAGGGCCAGCCCCATGGCCTAGTCATTAAGGGAGTGGAACCCCATATGGCTGACCATGCAGTTCAAATCCTGGCCATGATGCCTTGAAAAACATGCTATGTGCATGTATGTGCATGCTCCAAATCCCAGTAGGATAGAAAAATGGAGGAGAAGGAATTGTAGCATGACGATGCTCCATTAGGAGGGTGTTTTCTCCCTCTCTCTGTCTCTTTCTGGCAAATGCACATGCCCTCTGGAAAACCAAAAATAAAAATTGTAGATAGTTCTTAAACATCATTTATGCACAGGAGAATGATTCAAGTTGTATCAAATAATATGCAGTGAAAAATACAGAACTCTCCAAACCCCTCCCCAAAGGCGACTGCTGCTAGCCATTTCCTGTGTGTTCTTCCAGAAAGGCTCTCTTCTGATTACTGTTTCTGAAAACATATTTATGGGTTTCTCTGCTTATGTTTTTGTTGTAAAACATGCAAATTCTTCAAGACCCTAGTCTGCCTCCCAACCCAAAGATAACTATGGTTAACACTCAGTTCTGCAGAGTTCGTTAAATACACACATGTGACACATCATTGACAGCATACCAAGTGTAAACTTCTTATCATAGTGTGACATACGTTAAGGGAAGTGCATGTGTCGTAAGTGCACAGCGCAATGAACTGCCGCAAACCGCACCTGTCTACCTGCTGTGTGGATCAAGAAGTACAATTAGCAGCTTCCCAGGAGCCTCTCACACGTCTGCTTACACTGAGTTCTTCTGATTGTGTTTTCTTTGAAATACATAATACACTTGCAGAGTTCACAGTTCAGAAGACACAAAGGAGAATAAACTGACAATACGTCTCGTTCTTTCACAGCCACTCCGTTCCAGTTCTCAGAGGCAAAGACTGTTAACCAGGGTCTTATGGATTCTTGCAGAGATGGTCTGCATAGACAGGCAAATTGCATAATGTGTGTGTGTACATATATACATATATTTGCATACATATATATGCATATATAGATACACAAATGTGATTTCAAAAAGTTCATGGAAAATGGAATTAGTTTGAATTTATTTGATGCAAAAAAATTTTTTTTTAATTTTTCTTTTATTTTTACCAGAAAGCACATATATTCCCCAGAAAGACTGAGAGAAAGAGAAAGAGGGAAAAAGAGAGAAAGCATCCCCATGAGTCTTGGTCACCCTATAATTCCTTCTTTACCTCTTCCTCCTTTTGGAATTTTGGGCATGTATCCACATGTGCTTGGTGTGTTTTTCAGGCTGCCAGGTCTGGGACTCACATGTGGGATCAGCACCTTAACCACCATGCTAGCCCAGTTTTTCATAATACACATTTTCCTTGAACTTTTTGAGGATCCCCTCATGCACACACACACACACACACACACACACACACACACACAGCATTTTACACATTCTGCCCTGCGCTTGAATTTCTTTGCCCTTAACAATACTCCTTGGAGACCGTGGGTGTTCCAAGAGCTGTTTCACACTTTTCGTGGCCATATAGTGCTCCATTCTGCACATCTGTAACTTGCTGTCTGCTTGGGTAACTGACAGACGGTGTCCATGGACCTTTGCAGGCTTCAAGACCAGCCTGGCACCTGGGAGATCAAACCAATACCTCTGGGGCCATTTTCCTTGCTCTACCCTCCCCCAACACACATACTTTCCACCTCCAGGCTGGGCCAGCCCAGCTAGGCTTCTCCAGGCCAACTTGGAGCCATGGGAACACTCAGAAGAGGCACTGGGCTGAGTGGGGTGGAATGACCAGCTTTAGCCAGGCCACCTCGGGCCCTGAAGGACCACACTCTCCACTCAAGCCTCAGACACAAGAACCATCACAGGAGAATGATATCAGGGTTCATTTAACAATGAAGAAACTGACACAAGACAGAAGAAGCAACCTGCCAGAGCTCCCCAGTGAGTCCCTGGCCCTGCTGGGCCACCAGGAACCCAGGTCTCCCTCCTCCCCATGCAGGACTCTCTTCTCTATTTTCCCATTAGGGTGGGATGGCTTCCAGGGTCACTCATGACAGTTGAGAAGCTAAAGCCCAGAAAGGGACTGCAATGGGTCACAGCTGCACAGCATCTGAAACTGAGCAGGACCAAGAATTCAGCCCCTTCCTCTAGTCCTGGGCTCTCTTACCACGCTAGCGTTGTTGCATTGATCCCAGGCTGCTTCCATTTTACATGACTTTTATTAAAAGGGACCAACAGATAGCATAATGATTACATTGTTGGACTCCTACACAGGGAACCATGGTTTGAATCCTGGACCTGGCAGCTTAAAACTCCCACCGGGTGCGTGTGCATGTGTGCCCCGAATCCCGAAGCAATGGAGAAATAGAAGAAAAGGAATTGTGGTGTGACCATGCATTATTGGGAGTGCACACTCTCGTTCTCTTGAGTGCATGCACCCTCTGACAAAAAAAGTCTAGACCCGGGTAGCTAAATGCAATCTATAATACAGGACCGGATCCTGCAGGGGGGTGGAAAATGTAACAAAGAACACTACCAGAACAGTTGTCAAAACAATATGGACAGTAGATTGAAGTAGTGTATCAAAATTAAATTTTTGGAATTTGCTAATAGGCTACAATTATGTCAAGAGGATATCCTTGTGCTTAAGAAATACACCTTGGGGCCAGCTGGTAGTGTGGAGGTTGAAGCTGCCGGATCCCACATGGCTGACTGCCTAGTTGAGTCCTGAACTTGGCAGCTGGAAACCACACCAGGCGTGTGTGCATGTGTGCCCAAAATCCCAAAAAGAGAATGGAGAAGGGATTGCAGCATAGCCATCTCCCTTGGGAGGCAATTTCTTACTGTCCCTC